AAGTCAGTGGCGGCTGCTTTTCTGTTATCTGTTCACCCCAAAATTAAAACAAGCACAAGTCATGCAGTATTGGGTGACACGAGGTCTGCCCTGCCCAGACCCTGTCGCTACCGGGGGCCAGAGGCCAGATTTTGAGAGAACATGAGAGGTGCTCTCTGTTACCGTTCGTCACACTCCAAACCCCTCTAATAACCCATTTGGGATCTCTCCTCCTGTTCTTTCCAACCTTTGTTGACCTGACTTCTATTTACAGCCTGTACCACCTCTTGGGTCACCAATTCTTTGTTGATGTACCCTTATTTTCTGACTTAATGGCTGGAAGCTGTTAAGATCCTCTCCGATATTACTCTCCAACTACCAAACTGAGGTCATTATTACTCTTAGTAATGATGGTTGCTATTTATTAAACAGAACACACATCCTGCCAAGAACTTCCTGTGCATTATCTCATTTAATAACCCAGAGAAGCAGGGATTGTTATTCCATTTCACACATGAGTCGTGGAGAACTTTGACAAGATGCCCAAGGTCGCCCTGCCAGCGATGGGGGAAGGAGGGATTTCAAGGCAGGCCTTCGGTCTCCACATCCTGGGGGGGAGGGAGGACCAAGTGTCGTGGCTTTCACAGGTTGCTAGTGGTGGCTCGTTGGGTTTGTCAGTACCAGGCCTGGCAAGAGATGAGGGCTTAGAGTCTGCTTTTGTGGAAGTTCAGTTGGCAGGGCTCAGGGCATATTAGTAATTGCTGTTACATTCACCCCGGGGAGTGATGGACCCTGATCTCAGTCTGCAGGATCAACATGGTCACCAGCAGAGACCCCGTAGACATCCAACCACAGTGCTCATGGTGACTTGGGAATGCTCGGGAAAGCAAAGTAGTTGACCCAGGTTAGACTGTAAAGATATTCCTTCTTTAATAAAAAGGAAGGGAGGAGCCCTTCCACCTTCCCAACAAAGGCCACGCAAGCCTCAGGGCAGCAGAGCCTGGAAGGGGAAGCACCCTGGGAGCAGGCCAGGGCTCCTGTGGGGGGTCTCCACTGCTCACTCCATCGGCAATGCCTCACATCCTCCAGGGGAGGCCAAAATGTCCGCTCATGAGGCTACGTCGGGGGAGAGGCGCAGGCCTGCCTCTGTTTTTAAAGCAACTAGTATTTTTTTTAAGAAAGAAGAAGAAATGTAAAAATCAGGGGTTTTAAAGTCAACTTATATTTTTAAATGTTCACATTAACAAAATACCACTTTTCAACACACAGAGCAGTGTAATTGTGTGAGTCACAAGATCCCTGCAGAAGCTGGGGTGCTCTAGAGTTAAGGGACCCACCTATGTGTTCCTCCTGTGACTGCCAGAGCTCCTTTGGAGATGGACTCAGTGGCCTTTGAGGCCAGCCATGAACCACCAGGATGCTTGACACGTGTGGAATAGCCCCCAGCCCCTACAGGCCCCTCCCTGATTGTCATGGCCACACAGAAAGGGTAAAATAGCTGGACTTTTTTAGGCCTAGATTCCCAAGGCCATTTGGGGTCTGGGGTCTGGTCCTGGAATGTCCTTTCTTCCTGCTCTTTCTATAAAATAAATCTTTTAAATTAGTATCAGCTGGTTTTGAAAGTAAAAAAAAACAAAAAACAAAAACAAACAAACAAACAAACAAAAAACTCCCTAGTTCCAAAAGCAAGAAGGATAAGGAAACCAACATTATGGGAAGGTGCTAATGCCTGAGCCTTTATACAGTAGTCCCTGATCCTTATCTACAGAAAACTCTAGAAAAGAAAAACAACTTATAAGTTTTAAATGCCTTTTATTATATTGTTATAATTATTCTGTTTTATTACGAGTTCTTGTTAATCTCTTGTTGTGCCTAACTTATAAATTAAACTTTGTCATCGGTATGCATAAGGGGAAAAAAGCATAGCATACGGAGGATTCAGTACAATCTGTGGTTGCAGGTAACTACTGGGGTTAGAAGGTATCTCCTGTGAGCTAGGCTCGGTGGTGCACACCTATAATCCCAG